GAAAAAAATAAATAAATTTCATTTATTTTTATCGATTATACATACCATACCAAAGAAATGATTAATAATCATTGAATAAATAAACATTATGCACGATGCATTTGTATATTGTTTGTCATATTTTAAATTTATTTGAATTATTATAAAGATTACGGGATACTCATTGGGTCACCATGCGGAGAGGCAGGAATGTTTTACTTGGGCCCGAATGATAATTTTAGTGTTACTTCTAATGGATACATCGATTTAATACAAGCCAGGATTTATAATCACAATGAGTATTGTATGGAATCGTTTTATCATGGTATCAATGGTACCTTTCAACCATTCATTTGTTTCGAAGATCGTGAACATGACTGCCAATTACGGTAACAAATTTATCTTATAATTATATATTTATTTATTTATTATAAAAGATATTTTTTTTTATTTAAATTTTTATACCTTTATCCAATCTGACGTTTGTTTCTATTATTATCATTATTATTATTATTTTAATACTGTATCGAATTTATCTATCTATCTATCTATCTATCTATCTATTTATTTATCTATTTATTTAAATATCTTTTTCTTGTGATCTTTCTCTATCCGTTCTTATTCCTTTGGTGCTAACGCACGTTTCAAGAAGACAATGGATGGGCGTCGTTTATTGCACGGGAAGGTTTGTTTAACTTTGTCGAAGTTTAAACAACTAAAACACAGCCAGTTCTGTTTCGGGAAATCCAATAGAAAGATAGAATGAGAAGATAGAAGAGATAAAGGTGATCGTAGAATATCCCTTCGTATTCGTTTCACTACGTTTCCTACTTTTATTCCTAATCGTTATTCCTATTTCTCTTTTACTATTTTTCTCTGTAACTATTTTCTTTTTTACTTATTTCTATCATTAGTCTATCTTTCTTTTAACTTTCATTACATTTCTCTCTTTCTGTCTGTATTTCTAATTACTTTTGTCTACCTTCCTTTATTTATCATTATTTATTATTTTGTTTAATTATTTTTGTCTTCTTTTTTTGTTTTAAATTATTTTATTTTTCTCTACCTGTTAATATTTTTTTCTATTCTTTCATTACTTATCTCTCTCTCTCTTCTATTTTTCTAACTATGGTATATTTGCTTTCTTTATATTTTCTAATTATTTTTCTTTAGTTTGTTTCTATTTGTCTCTACGTATTTCTATCTTTTACTATCTTTTGTCTGTCTATCTTTCTCCAACTATTTTTGACTATTTTTGACTATTCTTAATTACCCTACTTTAGTTTTCTCTACTCGTTTCTATCTTTCTTTATTTTCGTTTCTATCTTTCTCTATTTTCGTTTCTCTCTCTCTATTTCTAATTACTTTTGCCTAGCTTACTCTATTTATCATTATTTATCTCTCATTTTCTTTAATTATTTTTGTCTTCTTTCTTTCTTTCTTTTTTTTAAATTATTTTATTTCATTTTTCTCTACCTGTTAATATCTTTCTCTATTCTTTCATTACTTATCTTTCTCTTCTATTTTTCTAACTATGGTATATTTTCTTTCTTTTTATTTTCTAATTATTTTACTTTATTTTGTTTCTACCTATTTCTATCTTTTACTATATTTTGTCTATTTTTACCTATTCTTAATTACCTTGCTTTATTTTTCTCTATCCATTTTTATCTATCTCTCTCTCTCTCTCTTTCTCTCATGTTTTTTTTTTATTTCTTTCCTTTTTCAATACATTTTTATCTTTACCTTTCATCCTCCGTCTTTTTCTCACGTTCCGTTTGTACATATCTGTTTTTTACCTCTGTCCGTCAGTCAGTTTGTCCGTGTCTTGTCCTCTCATATATGCATGCATGGATATCCGATGGTGATGGTGGTGGTGGTGATGGTGGATAGGAGGACACTGTCGTAGAAATAAAAATTTTCCCGGAAACCCGATTTGACGATACTATGCACGATTGAGTTTCGATTGTCTACGCTGCTGACTCGCTTTTTCACCACTACCATCACTGTTACCCTTTTGCAACCCTTCCCGACCCTTTCCAACCCTTCCCGACCCTTTCCAACCCTTCCCAACACACCCCCAACTTGTTACAGATGCCTTTACCTATACAACGAAACTTGCTCGTATATCTTCCAAGAGAAGAATAAATAACGATAGACGTATTGCCAGAAGGAAAAGAACATGTTGCAAGGTTAACCGGTGAAAAGGAGACCGGGAAAAATAGATAAAAATAGACTAAAATAGACGAGAATAGTATTTTGTTCTTTTTTTTCTTTTTATTTTATATATTTTTCTATGTTGAAATTATTTTCTGCAGATTTTCTTTTTTCTTTTTGGTAACGAACAAACTCTATATGGTCAATCTTATTATTATTATTATTATTATTATTATTAATATTAAAAGAGAACGGAAAAATAGACAAAAATAGAAAAAAATAGACGAGAATAGTATTTTGTTCTTTTTTTTTCTTTTTATTTTATATATTTCTATGTTAAAATTATCTTCTGCAAATTTTCTTTTTTCTTTTCGATAACTAACAAACTCTATGGTCACAATCTTATTATTATTATTATTATTAATATTAAAGGAGAATAGGAAAAATAGACAAGAATAGTATTTTGTTGTTCTTTTTTCTTTTTA